AAAGATAAAAACTAACACAAACTAATAATCAAGAGTAGAAAGCAAGAAAGCGAGAAATAAAGAAAACAAAAGTGGTAAGAAATAGAAAAGGAGAAGAAAGAAAGAAATACAAAAAGAATGACTTCCAACTTCTTATACAGCAGATATAAATGAATCATAAAATAACCTCATACTCTAAAACTACATCTTAATGTACATATTTTGCACAGTCTATTAATTTAACTAATCATCAAATCCATATATCATAATTTCATTTTTTTCTGTATCCTGACAAAGGCCAAAAGAAGCTTTCAGTTAGCATTAAAGTTAATAATGTTTTTTCTCTAAGCAAAGCTGTCAATTTCGCCATCTCAGCTAACTCCATCAACTTCACAATCCATTCTTCCATAGTTGGTAATGTCAAATCTTTCCACCTTTGAGCATATAAAAGCCTAGTTATCATATATAAAAACAAAGGTCCATCAGTCCCAGAAGAAAAGTCTCTGGTTTTGACTGTATATTAACCTTCAAAATCTTCTCAGTAAATATATATATTTGAGTCCAAATTTTTTTAGCTTTATTACACGTGCACCAAAGATGTTAGAAAGTCCCTTCTTGTTTGCATTTCCAACATATATTTGAAACTCCTTTATACATTTTTAATAATCTTTCCAGTGACAAATACCATCAATACATCATTTTATAGAAATTCTCCTTCAAATTATAACACAGTGTAAATTTTAACCCTTTCATCCATATATTTTCCATTGTTCATTTGTATACTATATCCAAAACTTTTAGCCCATTTTATCATGCAGCCTTTAACTTGTTCATCTTCTGTTTCAAATCTCAGCAAAAGCTTATACATTTTAGCAATAAGATGTTTATCATTAGTATGCAATTCAGTTTCAAAGAGAGTTTTATTTCATTCAAAACCATATGTCTTTTTATCAACTTTAAATCTTTCTACAAGTTGTACATATGAAAACCATTGACACACATGTCCTTCTGAAATCAAAGTCTCTTGATTTTATTTTAAATTCTCCTTGGTGAATATCAAGGATATCACCATAAGTTAACCATTTCTGCTTAGTTACCATTTCTTTCCTGTAAAATGCTTCTTGTGGAGATTACCATAAGGGTATTTTCGGACACAGTCTAGGTTTATATCTATTCCAACTTCTCAAAATGGTACATCTAATAAAGTGGTATTTGAAATCTACATTAACCTTAACTTGATCATATCATAAATAGTTGTGCTACCCAAATCTCAATTCGTATCCTTCCAAATTCAATAGTCTGCTATTTCTCAACAACACCCATTCTTTCAGCCAAACTAAACAACAAGCAGCAAAATGCAATTTGAGGTCCGGCAAGGCTAAACCTCCTTTCTTTAACATCTTGTAACACCATATATTTAATTCGTGGTTTTTTACCTTGCCAGATAAATTTAGTTATATCCTTCTGCCATTGCTTAAATGGTAAATCAGTAGTCACAATCGATATTGTTTGAAACAAAAATAATATCCTAGGTAAAACACTCATTTTTATCACAGAAATTTT